AACTACGCACTATACATGAAGGTTCCATAACCTCAGTACTAAAGTCTAAAATTTGTGAATTTATTTTTAAAAGCTGGATGGCAGGACCCTACCAACTCTGTGTCACTGGAGTGAACTAGATAGGCACCCTACTTCTCATTACCATGTGATTACTTACTACTCATTAATATTTCCGAGAGGGGTCAACAGCAGAAATGATGCAGAAAAAAGAATCAATTCTGCTAATTACCAATTTTTATTTTTAAGGTTGTTTACAGGGCGTTAAATTAGATTTCTGGATTACTTGACATTATTCATGCCCTCCTAGTCTATTATCAAAGCTAAAATTAAACATTAGTTATACCAAGATGTGGACCCAGTATTTGTTAGTTAGGTATTAAGAGGAAAAATAAATAAATAATCTGATTTTAAGGAAAAACAATGGGGATTCTCTTTGGACCCTGAGAGCTGGACTTTTAAGACATACATTATCTTAACAGTAGACATAGGAGAGACAGACTTCTAAACATTTAAATAGTCAAGTACACTTTGAGCCACATGGCATATACTGGCCTAAGAATAAAGTAGAAGAAAACCACAAGGTGAAATTCAGAGTATCTGAATGGATGTGTACCAAGCAGACAGTAACCTTATTAGGAAGGTGGTCACTGATACCACTAAAAACAAAGGGCCATAGAGCAAATTGTGACCAGCTTATGTCAATGATACACAAAGGTACTTAAAAAAATAAAATAAAATCTGCATTTTATTAGAAATGACTAGCTGGTATCTTGTTTTCGGTAGTGCAACAGCACCATTACAGCAAGGGTAAGCAGGTCAATCCCTTGCAAAACTTACCTTGGTTGGCCCAATGGAAACAGAAGGCCCCAGAAAAGAGAGAAGCATCTGGCAGTAGCAAATTGTTTTATTTTATCTTTCTGTGGAAAGAAACTAATTTTAAATAAGAACCAGAGCATTTAAAGAATAAATATTTTTTAAAGCTCATTATCTAGTTAGAGCAGCTCTACTAAGAAAACAAGAAGAGCTTCTTGCTGTTTAGAGATGGAAAGAAACAGAAGAGGAATCAAAGTTGTTTCTCCATCACCTAGGGAGTTTTAAAACTTGTTATTCAGGAGTAACAGAGCTAATAGTTCTTTCATTTAAAGAACTCCTACAGGCAGAATCTTTTGGGCCTGGTGTCTTTCAACAAAAATTTTTATACAAAATTAAGGGCTATAGTCTAAATAAAAAAGGAAAGCACTTGACATTAAGCCCTTCTACTCTTAAGGTTAAGTAAAAAGAGAGAGACAGAGCAAGCTCCTTTCTTTACTACAATTTCACCAACTTAAATCATCAAGGCTTAAATGCTTATCAAAGTAAACAGATTAGTTAGCAGAAAGTTCATACCTAATTTGCTTTCCAAAGTATTTTGTTAGCCTGAATTTTTGATGATTTATTGAGATTCTCAAATGGATAGAACCCAGCCACCAAGCTAATCTTAAATAAGAATAAAAGCATTTAAAGAATAGTTTCTAAAGCTCATTATCTAGTTAGAGCAGCTCTACTAAGAAATATTGTAAGACCTAACAGGGGGCATAAAATTATTCATGGTAACTAAACCTGTTACCTTTCTTGAATGCTTCCCTAAAAACTCAGTTCTATTGAATTCACTGAGTCAGCATTAAAATCTTTTGATCCAAATCACTCCCACAAAATGTTCATTTAAAATTTATGCTAGAGATGAAAAGGGACAGCTCAGAAGCAGGAGTGTAGAAGCAATACGCATTAAAAGAAAACAACAAAATAGTGTTAAGTGGAAAATGAACTACCTATTTGGCACTGTCCTATTAAGAATCAGTTGAGTACAACCTACCCACCTCCATCCCCACCACACACACACACACACACACACATACATACATACATACATAAGAGCAAGCTATTACAGAAATAAAATTCATTCTAAGCCAAAGACCTAAACAATTGCAATATTCAGGTTCTATGTATTTACACAGTCCACCACATAAACTATGTTGCTCTATCAGACATTTATTCTTAGAACATTAACTTCAATTGACCTACTTGTGGGAAAAAGGTCATTAAACTAAAAAGCCTACCCTTCAGTGTTACTTCTAAATTTATATTAAAAAAACCCTCTTAGTTTTGGTTGCCGTGAAAATAATTATTTTATACAGAAGACTTCATTAAATTTAAAATGGTTAGTGTTGTAATTCAACATTTCACATATTTGAAAACATTCTTTTGGTATAAAATATTCCTTAAATAGCTAGAAGTATTGATGCAGATTTTGAAATCTTGACACAATAATACAACAGGCAAAAGTAAACAACCACAAAAAACAAAATAAAACAAAAACATTCTTACTTGACCCATTGGCGGACCTCCCATTGGGGGCATCATTTGTGGCATCATTCCATGAGGTACAGGAGGCATATTCGCTCTCTGACCCATAGGGTGCATTCCCATTGGGGCATAATGCATGCCAGGATGCCCCATCTAAAAATGAAGGACAATTTAAAAATCAGCAATAAGAGTAAATCCTTCTCAAACGTCTAATTTCAACATATCAGTTAAGAGCGGTGATATATTAAGGTAATGTGATTTAATTATTAGGTTAGTTTATACTTTTTTATCTTAAACAAAACGCACTACAGACATTTATAATGAACTTTCAACTAACACAATTCCAGAACATAAAAAATTAAAATCATTAATGGACAGCTAGATCATAATTTTATTTTTCTTTTAATGTACACTGATCTAATCAATTATTGACTGACTTGCTAAACTCAGAAGGGCACGTGAAAGCCAATTTAAAAACTATTAACGAAAACCACAACTTTGTCCTATATTATACCAATATAAGATAGCTAACTATTATTTTATAAAGCTACTTATCCTTAAACTTAATTCTACACTAACTTTAAGCTTTAAAATGCTGAATTTACCAAATGAACTCGGATGAAGGCTGGCCTTACAAAACACAAATAGCATGGGTGCTCAAGGACTCCTCACTCTAACAAATACACATATTACTTCCCACTATAATCTTTACAAGGGTGAAATTACTTCTAACTCCAGTTTTTTTTCCCGAGACTGAGGTATGTCATTCACACACTAAATGGAAACTAATTCACCCATTTTAATGCGCTTTCATAGGACAACTACTTCCTTTACCTGTGTGCCCATTGTTCCAGGTCTTAAAACCAAGTAATTACTACCTGACAATTCTTCCAGCTGTCCACCCTACAGACACCACTACTATTGGTGCAAACACATCTTGGCAGCCTCTTTTAATACCTACAGACTCACGCCTCCGCCTCCCGCTCCCTCCTAAATCGGGCCTACCTTTCCGAGACGCTCAACACGCTCCGGGCCCAGCACCTCCACCGCGCATCTGCCTAAGCCAGGCCCACTGGAAACTTCCAGGGTCCTACATTCTTCCCTTTGCGCATCCCCGCCCTCCATTTCTCTCCTTCGGAACACATCCCACCATCTCGAGCTCTTCCTCCGTCCACTCTCATCTTCTCCTTTTGGAGAAAGCTTCCTGTCTCTCTGACTCCGTTTTTCATTGTGCCACTCCGATCCCTTACCGAGGGCCGTCTCCTCAGGAAGCCGTCAGCAGAGACCCAAGAACTGGAGCAGAGGCTTGAGCCGGACAATCTCCGCTCCCCGTCCCCAGGACCCCGCGAGGGAGGATGGCTCTCCATTTCACTCACCATGAGGCCTCCACGCTCGGCTGCCGTCCCTGGCCTCATCGTCTGGCTCAGACTGCTCCGCCGGCGGCCACTGCCGCTGCATATACCAACAAGAAGCGATCTGAGTGGCTGGCGCCCGCTGGGGCTAAAGGTTAAAGGCTGCCCGGCACTACGGGGCGGGATCAGCGGGGCCAATAAGCTGACAGGCTTCCCCGCTGTCCAATCAGAGTGCGCTGCCGACACGCAGCTCTGCGGCGATTCGCCCCCAGCCTCAGCCTCACTTGGAGTCGCCTGCATGGAGGGGGAATAGGGGGACGGAGGAAGTTTCTGCGCCGAGTCCTCTGCCGGAAAAACTCCACCAACTTCCCCCCGGGAAGGGAAGACAACTGTGTCCCAGCTTTTCGAGCTTAGACCGCCTCACCCCGTAGGGGGTGGGGCAGTGGGGACCTGCCACCTTCACCCCCCCGCCCGAATTACGTACGCCCCACAAACCTGAGGCCGCCAGGGGTAGGGTGGGGAAGGTGGAGGTGAGGTAAGAGGCTTCTAGCGTTAGCGGTGGCCCGGTCCCGACGCGCGCGCGCGCGCAATGCTCGAGGCGAAGGGAAGGGGGCGGGGAAGGCTAAGGAGGGGTCCGGAGCACAGGGCTCGAGCTCCGTACGCACCAGCTGGACAGCGCGCGCCTGGGCGGAGGGGTGGGGGAAGGAGGCGTGTCGAGCCGCGTGGAGGGAAGTTGTGGTAAGGGCGGGGAGAACAATGCATAAGAGAAAGAAGGATGGGATCTTCAGGCACGGCGGGCGAACAGGCGACTGAGCTACTGTTAGTGAGGGAAGCCGTGAAAGAGTGCGAGATTAGAGGGCCAGAAGAGAAAAAGCAGGTAGGTTCGGGAATGTTAATAGGAGGTGTAAGGGCGGGCGCTAGGACCGGGCATGAGGAGGATGCAGCTTTGGGGTTGCTGGGGCCCGCGCTTGCCTGGAGGTGACGCGGCAGCGGCGGAGGTCTCTGGCCGGGACGAAGCAGTACAGGGAGAGGGGACTCGGCTACCTTCAGCCTCGACTCGCCTTTCGTCGCGCGCTTCCCTACTTCGTTTCCTTCTTTGTAAACGGGGGTCGTGCCCTAGTCCAGGGGTGTCCAACCTCTCCTCCGGTCCCATGGCACCCTTTCCGCCTCGCTGCTCATCCTTGAGCACCCCTGCGCGCCGGGGCCGGATGGTGCTGCCCGTGGAGGGGGCCAGCCGTTGATAGGCTGCTGCGGCCTCGAGGCGGGGTGGGTGAAAGACGCCCGACCTCCGCGCGTTTCTGCGTCTTTCCCGCCATGTCGTTCGTGGAGAGCGCGAGGCGTTCCTCTCTGCTGCGACGTCGCCGTCTTTGCACCCCTGTCCCTTTCACTCGGTCCGGGTTATCTGCTTTTACTCAAGGGGATAGTTGGGGTGAAGGTGAAGTCGACGAAGAGGAGGGATGTGACCAAGTAGCCCGCGACCTGCGGGCAGAGTTTTCTGCTGGGGCGTTGTCGGAGCCTAGAAAGTGCTCGCTACTACCGCCCCAGAGGGACGGGTCTCCAATCCTGCTTGATAAACGCAATGGCATCTTCTCGGCGGGTGCGCGCGGCCGAGCCCAGTCTCGGCGGTGGCCGGTACAGGTCCTTTCTATTCTCTGTTCGCTGCTGTTCGCCATCCTCCTCGCTTTTCTCCTCGCCATCGCCTACCTGATCGTAAAAGGTACAGAAGGTCGGGCCTTGAAAATACGTCCACAATAAAGTTGAGCCTGGAGGTGTCTCTCTCTTTCATCATTCTTATCCCCATCAAAGGCCATTTTCTGCAGGAGTCCTCGGCTGCAACTTTATTTGCTCTCCTCCCTTTGTCCTCACATTTCTTAAAGGCGGATGGCCCTGGTCCATTATCAGGCTACCCACTTTAAGAAAGTTCTTGAGTTACACAATATACTGTAGTCATTGAACACTTGAGGGGAAATATTGGCATATTGAACAAAACGCAGAACGACCATTAAAAGACGGTGAAAGTGTGTGTAATTAAAATAGACTGTACGTGTTCAAAGACTTTAATTTACAAACGGTTAAAGATATGCTATTCACCGATTCCTGTGTATACTCAATTCCTGAAGGACGAGGATTTCAATCCCACAACCGAAATTTCTACTTGTATTGGTAAAATAGCTCCTTTCGGTTTTGTATTAGGTTTACAGCTGAGTGTAACAAAAAAAGTTCTATGCAGGAATTAGTCTGCTCTTTCTCTGATTTTATTTTCCTGTGTTTGAAATTGACATATGGGGCAGATAGGAATAGAAAGAGATGTGCCTTGAAAGGTTTTCCAGTGTTTATACGGATATATTATGTGCTTACAGTGGAAAGAATCAGACTTTAGTTTAATTCTCAGTTCTCACTCACATGTCACTTTGGCAAAGTTATTGAAAAAGAACAGTTAAAACTATCTTTTGTATGAAAAACACCCAACACATTGTCATTCATGTATTTAGTTCACTGAATAGAATTTAATCTGTTTAATTACAGTTTTTATTTTTTCTCATTGCTTGCAACTCACTAGTGGGCTGCAGGTGGCATCTAAAAGCTTACCATGTTTGATTTTCAAAGGAGACAAATTGGCAAGTTTTCTCTATACATACAGTGGTATTGGCTCTAAATGATAAAAAGGTGGGTGTCAATATTTCATCCTCCATCCCTCCTCTCCCCCCTTTTTTTACAGTTCAACTAAGAGTTATATCTTGCAAGTAGTTTATTTCTCTTTTGCTCTGGGAGATTAGCTTTTTATCATAAAGTCACAAAATGTGGAAATCCATTCCAGAAGACATTGAGTTGTGCTTATTTTAGAGAATGGAGAAAAGAACGGAATTCAAAACCTAGTGTGCCCTGTAAGTGAATTACAATAAATGCCTTCACAACAGTCCAGTGGGATGAACATTCCTATTTTACATATATGGCAGTTGATTTACAGCCCTCTTATTTACTTGCAGAAGGTCACGTAACAGACTACTAACTGGAATCAATTTGAACCCAGTTTCAGACTCTACAGCACTTCCCACAACTCCACTACATCTTCCCAGCTTTTGAACTGTTCAAATTATCTTTTTTTGTATTTACAGAGTTACATGCTGAGAATTTGAAAAATGAAGATGATGTAGACACTGGGCTATTAGGTATGTACTTGTCACTTAATATGATTTTGAGCTCACTTCTGTTTTTACAGATCATGTTTAAAAAATTTTGGATAAAATACTTAATGTAGTCTTTTGTGCAGTTGTTTCAGCCTTTATCTTTTTATTTGCATGTGTGTGTGGTAAATTTTATTAGTTTTTTTTTTTATATAGGTATAGGGTGTATATGAGAGTGTATGTATGTATAGTATACACACTAGGAATACATTTTGAACACAACTGTGATATAGACCCAGCGAATACTTAATGTTTTTTTGTTACGTACTGGAAGAGTCTCCCTGTATTTCTTCCCAGGAATTACAAACGAGTAAAAATAACTTCCTTACAAACTTAGCAAAGATAACATCTTAAGCAGACCTCAGGAAAAATTTAAGTTGAAATTTCTTTATAAGTACCTTCAAAAAAAAAAGTGAAAGCCATTGGCATACTTGCACAGTTTAGTGTGAACTAGGAAAGTTATGTCAGACCTGAGTTTGTAAAGAATGACTGTTGAATGCTATAATGCTATAGTTTACAGGTTTCTAGTGAAAAATGCAAAGGTTATTTACCTTATATCTATTTCTCTCTGCTCGAATAATTTTGAGAAGTTCATAACTTTACCTTTCTGGCATATTCTATTTGTTGTAATCTTTTTGAGATCCTAGCCTGCCTGTCACCCTCTCCCCCAATCTTAGCAAACTGATTTACTTCTTCAAGACCAGTGCCCCCATGATGATACAAAGTATAGTCTACCTGATTTTGCAGAAGCAGAAACCTTTATCTTCAGATTACAAATTTATTTGCTCCATGTCCCATGAAAAGTTGACTGTGCTTTTCTTGCATGAGAAAACATGTATTTATTTAGTTACTCATTTTATCAGTGTATGTTGTTATATTGTCCCATCCCCCCAAAAACACCAAGGTTATAAAGGTTTTCATATTATTTATTGATACATAAGCTTTTAATGCCGATCTGAACTAGACATGACCTCTAACTTGCTGTTTAAAAGTTGGCATGGTTTTATATTTACGAAAACAATGGATGGCACTTTTCACCTAAAGGAATGGCTTGTTCAGTATCAGAAGAAATATAATAGGGCTTTGTCATTGCTCTGCTTTGTTTTCTACTTCTAGTTAAATAGCCTGGTATTGCTTCTAGGTATGCTTGATAGATAGTTGACAGCAAATAGGAAGATCATTATATGACTCTTTGCTAATGACTTGAAAAAAATCATTGGATTGATCATTCATATTGTTCAAAATCTAAAAATGAAAATGTTTCACAAATTAAGGAGCAAAGAAGATTTTTCTTCTCTTTACCAAAATGGTATGCCATGAAAGATTTTTAGAAGTTCCTTTAAGCACTGTATTTTGGTAATCCAAATACAAAAAGAAAAAAACAAAATTAATACTAAGCTATAACCAATTAGAGATGTAGATGAAGTTTGGAGTCAGTATTTATTTACAAGGTAGTTATATTCCAGATTTAGCCATGAAGTTAGTAAACAGTTATTTGCACTCAGGACATAATCCATTTCTAGAGTGTGTATCTTTAAAACCAGGAAAATTAAGAATAAAAATTTGGATATCATATCTATATCTTATTAAAATATCTAACAGCTTTTTCTTATTGTCTTTCTATTCTTCTGTGAATTGTTCATCAAATGACTTAAAAGTAAGAGTAATGATACGTTGGATCCCCATGGTAGTGATGACTACTTTTCCTAGTATTACAAGCTTCAGAAGAGAATACAGATTTATCAAGATTTGCCATGAGTTAATTATTTAATGATGAGTGATGGGTACATGGGGTTTCATTGGATGTACTCTTCCCTCTACTTTTATGTATATTTAAAATTGTTAATAATAAAACAGTTTTTTAAGCAATTTCCATGTGAACCTGATGCTTTAACATGGTTGGAAACAGCAGGTGTTATTTTTCAAGTTTTAGTCACTTTATCAAAATGTTCCCTTAAATGTTACTTACCTTTTCAGCAGGAAGAGGAGTGGAATTGCTACATGCTGAGTTGCAAGTAGACAGGCAGTTGGGTGGAGACTTTAACCCATGTCGCTGCAATAAACACACTGTATATTCAGGTAGCAGTGGTAGGGGAGGAAGACCCCCTTTCCTCTGCTGCTACACTTGGAAATAAATTTGAAGATCTAAGGCTGTACAACTTTGTGCATTGACATATATAGAGACACATTGCTCAAGGAATTTGAAGATTTGAGCTCTCAGTAGAACGTGGTTTAGCTGAGAGAGAACAGTAAATGTCCTGTCATCCTCCTAAGTTAGAAAACTATGGAATCTGATAAAGTTTGAAAAATTTGCTTACATAAATATTTAAAAATTGTTAATCAGTTTTATATTTGAGTACATCTATATTTTATTCATAGCCAGCTGGTTATAGTTTTTACAATATTTAAAAGTACCTAAATGTTAATTGTCATTGTGATTTTGTCAATTAATTATATAAGTAATATAGGCTCACTAGGAAAAAAAATCCAACAGGGAGCATTTGAGATCTTGCTTTTCAGCACCTGTCATCAGTTTGGCTAAAATAAACTCTTATAAAATTTTTTTTAAATCCAACAATAAAAGCAAAGGTTCCCACTAATCTATCTCCCTGTGTATATTTTCACATCTTTGTGTATATGTAGATATAATTTAACATGTGGTTTTGTTGCTTGTGAAAAACGTAATTGGAATCATGCATGTTCTGCAGCTTTATTAAAATGTCTTAGAGTTCATTCTGTATCAGTATACATAGATCTTCCTCATTCTTTTTCATTACTGCATTGATTTCATAGTATAACACTTTAGTATTTAAACATTGGAAATATCAGCTCTAAAACACAACTTGGAAATTATCAGTGTGCTGTCTCACTTAGTCCCAGTGTTTTTTTAAAGCAGGAGTAAGTTTTATGAAGAATGTGTAATTTTGTTTGCATAACAATGTTTTAGTAAGAAACCTTTCCCAGTGTGAGAACATGGGAGGTTTTTTTTCCTGGTTATTTCTTCTTATATATATATGTGTGTAAACTACTGCCTCCTCACCTCTGACTCCATAAAACTTCCAAAAGTTACCTCATTTGTTTCGGCCTGAAATTGCTAAATAAACTGAAAATATTTAGAACATATAATCTTTCTTTGTTGGAAGCTTTTATAGAAATACTAAAAGCTGCCAGCATAGTTTTAGAGAAGTAACTATACTTTGAAACTAAAATCACTTATTTTGAAAAATGAAATATACCAAAAGAAACCATACATTAGATAAATAAATATAAAACTCCAACAAAGGGAATTGATTATAAATTTCCCACCCACCTTCATCTTTGCTTTATGTGAAAACATTGAGCCCAAGAGATTTCAATTGGTGGAAAAGATTAATTTCTATCATTTCATCAACTAATGAAACGTTGAACTGTAGAGAAGAAGGAAGGATGTATATATTTATTTAAGGGCCTATATTCTTTGACACAACAGTTCCTCTAGAAATTTGTTGCACATATTTTTGTACAATTACATAGTTAAGTACAAGATTGTTTCATGCCGTATTGCTTTTAATAGTGAAACACTGGAATAATAAAAACATGCAATGTAAATGTGGCTATGTATACTGCTATGAAAGTCCTCTAACACTGTTGAGTAAACCAAAGTGTAGGACAGTTTTTCTGGTGAGAATCCCATTTGTGGAAAATAAAACTGAAAAATATATGTATAACATGATTTTTTTTCATTAGCTAGCTCCATATATACCTACATTACCTAGATAGCTATAATTTTTAGAAAAGGTGCACAGCAAAGTCTTAGCTAAACAGTTTTAGGAGAGGAATTGGTGAATTGGGGAAGGACGACTTAATTTTTAGATACTTTATACCTTTTAAAGTTACGTCAATTCTTGGTAAAATAGGTTTACAAAACAGATACCAAATTTTTAGCTTCAGAATTCTGGAGGTAGGGACTTGTTGCAAATTTAATTTTGGGGGGATGTCAGCCTCCGTGGTTTTCCTGCTTGTTCATAAACACATTGAGTAATTTTCAGAAACATAAGCACTCCTAGACCATGATATTGCAATGTACTGTTTTAGCCCTATCATTGTGACCTGACTTTTATCAATGATATAGCTGTTGATTAGTTGAAAATTAATATAGAATTAAAATGCTCTAAATGGGTCAAGCACTTAGGTCATGGGATGGTAGTCATTTCTGAAAACTCAAGAATATTTTTGTATTAAGTTTAATACCTGTTCTGTCGAGACACCTGAGTGAAAAAGCTTGATGGGCTTGAGAAAGCCTCATATTTTGTTATATTTTAATGTTATTTTTTTTCTCTCACTTTAGATATCTAGAAGTTTCCATCATTCTGCAGCAGTCTCTAAACAAATACTTGATTTTTCTTAATTACCATCTTTGTTCTACAACAGACTATGTATTATAAGATGTTAAACGTGTCAATTATTTTCTCCCTTTTTGGATATTTAATAACAACAAAACAGCTATTTATCAATGTAGTCACCCTTAAGCTGTAGTTGTATACCAAGTAATCTTAAAATTTCTATTTTGAGTTTCTGTTTTACTGGGTTAGCAGGAAGGTTGTACCTCAAGTCTTTTCTGTAAAAGTTTTCTTTAGCCAATCCTAGGTTGTGTTATGGTCTAAAGGCTGACGCTGTACCAGGATACTAGGATGGAGGTACAATCTAGTCTTCAAAACATTTGCCCAAATGAGTTACTGCTGAAACATCTTGCATTCTGGTCAGAATGGCGTTTCAGAGGTAGCATCTTCCACCTCCATGACTATCCGCTGTTTCTATGACTCACTCAGGGCAGAGGCACCTGCAGGTTTGGCTTGGGCCCATCTGCCAAGGTACTGTACATACTGTAATCCCTCTCTGGTGTTGTGTGGCCTTTTCTTGATGGCTGGCAGGAAGCCCTATCAGCACCACCCCCTGCTTGTATACACACAAGTGCAAACATGATACAAAACCCACTTTCTTCAAGTGAGAGAATCTTCATTATCTGCAGATAAAGCCCTTCCTCTCTCCCTGTTGTACACAAACATTCTGTCTCTACCTCAATCAACTTATTATTCTTCAAGACATTTTGTGTGTACTATCCTGCTTATATCTACTCTCCTAGTTCCCTTAATTATTTGCAACATAAAAACCACAGAGGCACTCAGGCTAGTTCTCCTTTTCTACTTCCTTCTGGGGCAGTGAATACAAAGTTCCCCTAAGTCTTTATAAAGGGGGAAGGGAAAAGAAACTGTAAGAAGAAAAAAATAAAATCTTTCAAAAATAATTTGCCAGAGTTTTTCTACTTTGTTGCCCTGAGTTTGTCTTTTAGCAGTTTTACCAGGGCTTCAAATGATTTACAGGCAGTTCAATGTACATATTTCTTTCCTGCTTCTTGCTAAAATAAAGGCATCTGTTGGTTGTACAATTTTGTGAAGCCAGGAAATTAGTAAGCCATTCTCTGTTGTGGTCTTCTGAACCTTTCCTTCCTCGTACTACTGAAGCCTGGAACGCACCCATCAGTGGTGGTGGCTTAGTGAACTTTCTGAAGGAGGCAGTTGGTATCCAAAAACCTTCAAATTGATTTTTTCCCTCTAGTTCCACTGTGTGTATTCCTCTCATTTTTCTAATCCTCCCCCAGAGTAGACACCATGGTTTTGACTTGATCTGAGAAAATGGAAGGCAGTCTGACTAAAAATAAAATTGAGGATCCCAACCCTAATGAGAGTTAACTTTTGTTCATATATTGAGCAAGGTTAAAGTATCAGTTTAAGTTTGTATGTTCATAGGAAAGCTGTAAAGACTAAGCACTCTAAAATTGATTCATATGTGAAAAAGGTATGGTATATGGAAAGAAATCAGTGCTAAGTGATAAAAGACAAGCTGTGATTCACAAAGGTCAATGAAAAGTGTTAGGCATTTTAACAGTGAAGTGTTTTAACCATTTTTTTCCTATAGTTGAATATTATAAAACTGAAGATGAGTTGATATTTTTAAGTTGAATTTGTAGTCTTTTCCAAATACTAAATTAAAACATTCAATGATACTATACTTCAGTATTTTGTATTTCTACATGCGTTAGCTTGTACTGAGTTCAAATCTCATACAATTTACATAATTCAGAAGATCAAAAGTATCTATGATCTTCTGAATATGAGGATAGTGGTTTAATTTAAATTGTTTTAGTGTTAATAATTCAAGTTTTCTCCTTTTTTCTTCCTATTAAGGATTCTGGACTCTACTTATAATATCCCTAACTGCCGGATTCTCCTGCTGCAGCTTTTCTTGGACAGTGACTTACTTTGATTCTTTTGAACCAGGCATGTTTCCTCCTACTCCTCTTTCACCTGCGAGGTTCAAGTAAGTATACCTGTTTCTTCCTCTTTTAAGTCCATTCTGGCTCTGAGGAAAGTACTGAAGCAAATGAAGGAAAAATGCTGCTTATTTGGGAGATAATATGTTCAGGCCCCCGTCTTTAATCTATAAAATACAATGACACAAGATTTTTAGTTTGGCTCATCTTTCACATAAATGGAGGAGAATATTTTAAACTCCGTACGTCAATAATGCCATGGTTTTAAAAAATAATGAAATTCAAGAAATAATCTAAGAAGAAACTTAGATGGCTGTTTGTCCTTTTGGAATAACATTTCATTGAAAACACTTTATGAAGACTAAATAAATACCAGCAATGTGAAAGTTTTTCTAGATTTACATATAAATGGTCATACTTATAACAATTTAATAATTGGATTCGACTTTTCCTCATATTTAAACTTTGTAACAATTAGCAACCATTTATGTGTAGACCAGATTTGATAACTTTCATAGCAGTCTCTATTTCTGTTTCAGAGTTTCAGAGAATTCAGTAGGCAGTATTCTAATCTAGTTCATTTATGCCAGGGAAGCTGAGGTTTTAAGGATAAATTTCCCGGTAAGGGCAGGTAAGACCTCTACTTTATACTACAGACTGTAGTGTTGGGGTGGGGGGAGGATGAAGGATGGAGAGTAGAAAATAAATTCTGTTAAAGATATGTTACCAGAGTATTAGAGCTGTTACTGTTGCTGTTATGCCAGCTCTAGCCTACCTGATGGACAGCTTGTAGAGATCAAATAAGAACATCTATTCCAGGGACTCTATGAGGTTTAATACTAATGATAGGTTTTTTTTGTTACTTTTTTCTGTTGAAGATAAAATGAAAGTCGATTTCATTTAGACTATTTCACTTATGCTATTTGAACAATAGTACAGATCCCCAGTCAGTTACCTTTTATATAGGTTTTCTTTGTCAGCTCTTGAAAAGAGTAGTTTTGGTCATACTGCTTTCATAATAGTGTTTAAATAATGGTTCTAGACATAACATTTAATTCTAAAAGTATAGAAGTATTTGTGATGGTTGGGTTTTAAAAGGATGTATTTGGGAACCAGAAGAAGAGGTCTGCAGATAGTGGTCTTACTCAGGAGGATGAATGAGAACAACACACTTTTCATATAGAAAAAAAATACCAGAACTGGAACTCAGAACTTGGTAGAGGAACCCACTACCAATAGCTGTTCTTTCAGATTAAGTAAGCCAGTGGGAAAACCTGACTTGATGAAAAATTGCTGGGCTGTATTTACCACTATCTCTTCTCATCACCACCCTCCCAGCCCTACCACCCACAATCCCAAAAGCAACTTTTCTTTCAAAAAATCCTAAATTGGTATGAATTATACTAAATTTAAGAAGCAAAGCAGAACAAAACAAAATTAATTTTTAAAAGATGTGAGGGGAAAACAAAGTATTTGGATGGAAAGGAGCGGTAAAGCAAGTACAGAAGCATTAATCACCAAAACCAAACCAAAAAAAGGGTTTTTTAACAAGTCCATGAACACTTAAACTAGTAGAGCACATGTGAATCCCATATGATTAAGTGTCAAGAGAAATGAGGTGAGCTTTAGTCAGATATTAAAAATAAAGCAGGAATACAACAAAGGATTTGATACTCCAAAACTAAAAATAAAACTAGTTTTTCTACTTCACCCACTTATGCTATTTTGATAGAAAAAGCAATACAGCTGTATGTTTATGTCCTAGATTAATACATAGTATTAAAATCATAAAGACAACTCTCTTTTTTTACTGAACTTGGGGAAACTATAGAAATGCTTCTAAGTCTTGAGGGTAATGGGCTTCCTCAGCTCAGTGCACCAAGTAATATTATCTCCTTTCTAAAAAAAAAAATTTTTATGATCTCACCTATAACAGGAATCTAATCAACAAACAAACAAGAAAGCAAAATAGAACCAGAGACATGAAAATATCTCCTTTTCTTAAATATACTAATTTAATGCCTGAAATAACATATACTTTTAAAAGGTCATCAGGATCGTATCTTGTTTTTTCCCCCCAAGCGTTTTTTTTCTTTTTTTAACCCTTACCCAAGGACATGCTTATTGATTTTTTTTGCCCATTTTTTCTTTTTTTAATATGTTATTGATTATGCTAGTACAGTTGTTCCTTTTTTTTTTCCTTCTCCTTTATTCCCCTCCACCCTGCACCCCCCTACCTCACCCAGCATCCTCCTCCCCACCTTAGTTCATGTCCAAGGGTTGTACATATAAGTTCTTTGGCTTCTCCATTTCCTATACTATTCTTAACCTACCCCTGCCTATTTTGTACCTACTATTTTTGCTGCTTATTTCCTGTACCTTTTCCCCGATTCTTCCCCCTCCCTTTTCCTTCCCTTTCCCTTCTGTTTTACTGTTCATAGTTTTTAATCTTCTTTTTCTTAGTTAAGTCCCTTTTAACATTCTATATAATAAGAGCTTGGTGAGGATGAACTCTTTTAACTTGACCTTATCTGGGAAGCACTTTATCTGTCTTTCCCTTCTAAATGATAGCTTTGCTGGATAGAGTAATCGTGAGTGTAGGCCCTTGCCTTTCATGACTTTAAATACTTCTTTCCAGCCCCTTCTTGCCTGCAAGATTTCTTTTGAGAAATTGGCTGATAGTCTTAACTCCTTTGTAGGGAACTGCTTTTCAGATTCTCTCCTTATCTTTAATCTTGGGTAACTTAATTATGATGAGCCCTCCTATGTGCTTCCTTGGGTCCAACTTCTTTGGGACTCTCTGAGCCTCCTGGATCTCCTAGAAGTCCTATTTCCTTGGCCAGATTGGGTAAGTACTCATTCATTTTTTATTTAAATACGTTTCTACTTTCTTGCTCTTCCTCTTCTGACACCCCTATGATTCAGATATTGGATTGCTTAAAGTTGTTCCAGAGGTTCCTAAGGCTCTCCTCACTTTTTTGAATTCTTGTTTCTTCATTCTGGTTGAATGTTTATCTCTTGGTTCTGCTCCAGATCATTGATTTGTGTCCTGGTTTCCTTCCCTTTACTCTTGGTTCCCTGTATATTTTTTCTTTATTTCACTTTGCATAGGCATTGCTTTTTCCTCTATTTTGTTACCATACTGAACCACTTCAGTGAGCAACCACATTACCAGTGTTTTGAACTCTGCATCTGATAGGTTTGGCTGTCTGTTCATCATTTAGTTCCATTTTTGGAACTTTGATCTGTTCTTTCATTTGGGCTATATTTGTTTGTCTCACCACTCCTGTTAAATTGGGAGGGGCAAAGCCTTAGGTATTCACCAGGGCGGGCAACCCAGGTTGCTGAGTTGTGACCTAATGATAGGTTTTAGTAATCATTGTTGCTACTGGGCTTCATTAGTGAAATGAAGTATTTACTCATAGTACACTCATTTTTATGTATTAAAAAGATATCTATAAAAATTTGGGCTTCACTTTAAATCTGTGTGTGCATTTAAACATCTTAATAAATCCATATCTATGTAGGAAACATAAGTCATGTACTTGCCAATAAATTTTGTGTGTTAGAAGTGGGTAATGATTAATGAACAATCTAAATTGATTAAGTTATGTCTAACAGTGCAGTACCATCCCATAGTTTACATGGGTATCATCCAATTGGAAAGTTTATTTGCTAAGTGATACATTGTTCAAGTCAAATGTATATTCTCTTGCTCCCCTTGACAGTAATTACTTTAACAGGGGGCATGAGCCTAATAGAGACGATATAATCAGACTTCATAGTGACAAAAAAACTTAAATCTCAGGTTTTTTACTTACTTATATCTTACTTCTCCCCTAAATTTCAGCCCTGCATTTCCAGCTATTTAGCAGATCTTGCCATCTAAATTTCAGAAAGCATCTTGCACATAGTTATTAAAACTCCAAGTATGTCTTAAAGATAGCAGTATCCATCCCCTTATCAAGGCTTGAAACCCTTATTCACTCTCTTTACCCCTTCACTAAGTCCAGTCATTCCTGCTTTTTCAAATGTTTTTGAAATACTTTGTCTTTGTTCCCCCCAGGTGTTTTTTACCCTGCTTAAGGCCTTGGCCAGTATTCGTGACTCCTTTCTCTCCCCTACTCTTCTGATTCAACTTGTATATTGTTACCTTATTAAAAACACTTTTTACTCAAAGCTCTAACTTCTTTAAAAGTGTTAGTGTCTTTCCCATTGCCTTCAAAATAAAGTCCAAATGTCAAATATAGTGCAATAGCCCTTCCCCAACTGACGCTTTTCTACTTTTCCAACTTCAGCTAAACAACTTCTTTTAAGATCCCATGGCTTTACTCTTGCTCTCACTTCCTAGAATGTCACTTTCCCTCTCATCTTCTCTTCCATCACCACCAAAATTCATAAGCCTCATAGGTGTTAGATAACTTTGGAGTTAGAGAAAACCATTTCACTGTTCTTTTAAAGACCTGGAATCCTGAGAGCATTTAACTCATTTCTTAAAAATTACCTTTTCATTCTTTATAAACTAGAACCCGCAGTGATAAACCTCTATTTTCTGTGTATTAGTCACTCAATTTTAATGTATAGTGTCAAATCAGAAACTTAGATTACATATTTCTTAATACAGCCCTAAAAATACAGTTTTGAGATATGTGCATTGTGTATACATATGTACTGGAATTCCTTTCAGTATATAAGTAAGGGTAAATGAATTTTATATATGATAAATAAGCTATTAAATACCTCATGAGAGTCAACCTCTTTTTTAAAGTTACCATGCTAATTGAAGCACAGTCTAAAAAAGGCATAAAGTAAACGTAGTCATAGTTGATCACATAGTAACAGAAACCACAGACCAAAAATCAAAAAAAAAAAAAAAAGCGCATACGATGTGGTGATAATTGGTGAAATTAAGTTATAGTGAAAACCCTGCCCTCTAGTGCTTGTGGAAAATAATACAGTTACTTCAGAAATGTCAGAGTAAGCATATTCTCTAAGCCACCAGTAGAGTGAGTGCTTGTACAGGGAAACAACTCAAGGAGCAAGTTGA